TATATATATATTGGTTTATACAGATACAGTACAGATAAATAGGTTAGGTTAGATTCAGGTTAATACAATTATACAATTTATTCGTATAACTTAATTAATAAAATTAAAAAATTAAAAAATTATTTGTTCCATACATCCGAATATACTTAAATAGCATAAAATTATCACTCATGCACAGGTTTCTCTTGCGCAAAGGCACTTTTGTAAGATTTCAAAGACAGCGACTCGAGTTCAAACCACGATATCTCAAGACACTTTTTTTTTGCATTTTTTTCCCACTTTTCACTCAACTTATCTTAGTTTTGTTTGTAGAAACATAATAACTGAGTTATTTCAGTATAGTTACTATAGTTACTATAGTTCCTGTGTATATGTATGGACCGTATTTCTTTTTTTTTTTTTAGTTATCTCTGCAACGTCTACAGTAGAAGTGGAGCACGTTCTCGACGTATTAGTGTTATATTAAACAGGCGCACCAAGCGAAAAAATAATTGTACGTACGATTAAAACGACGTTCTCAGTCGATATAGGTATTAATTTTATTTTTGAAGTGGACTGTCACGGTTGGTTTTTGAAGTTGTAGTTACCGTAAGTTTGCATTTTATGCCTGTTCGTGCAATCAAAATAGACCAAAATACTCACACTGGCAGTGACATTACGCGTTATCGAATGCTATTGACTCTTATCGTGCGCGCGGTTGATAATCACAACACGATAATAATAATTGGTTCTTTGAGCGCACAGTCGAGACACGTCGTCAGTCGTTTACCAAATCGTCTAGGCAGGTGCTAAAATAGTAGTGTTTTATATTACCATCCTATTTTACCTTTCCACCTATTGTATTGTTAGCCTTTCGGCAATCAAACAATGCCTAAACGAAAGTCTACTATAGGACGTAGTACGGCAAATGCTAAAAGAGTACGCTTAGTACGTAGCAATGAAAATTCTGTTGAACGAAACAATAGACTTTTACAAAATCGTGAAAGAAATAAAAATTTAAGAAATGTTAATGCATGGTTTAATAAAGAATACTCTGCAATGAATTACGATTTTACTATTGATTACAAAAATGATCCGATGGTTACATTAGGTGCAATGTCTATTGTTTGTCAATATTGTTTAGCTCTAAAATGGAAAGATGAATCTAAAGGAATGTGTTGTTCAAATGGTAAAATTAAATTAGTAGAGATTTGTCCTCCTCCTGAACCATTGAATTCTCTCCTTACAGGTGATCATCCTAAACATGGAGAATTCAAGCGTAACATACGTCGCTATAATAATGCTTTTCAAATGAAATCATTTAAAAGTCGTAAAATAGTTGAAGGTAAATTTATGCCAACTTTTAAAGTACAAGGCCAGGTATATCATTTGGCTGGCAGTCTACTACCGAATAGATCTGACGAATACAAATTTTTGCAAATATACTTCATTGCCGATCCTGAAACTCAAGTGACAACTCGATGTAACATAGATTCTAGGAAACTGTTAGATAGCTCTTTGATCAGGTCATTACAAGATATGTTGCACTCACATAATATATACATACAATCTTTTAAAACAGCCATTGAAAGTGTCCTTCCAAATGTTCCCGATTACAATATAGTCATACACGCTAGCAGGGTACCAACAGGTGAACATCGAGGACGTTATAATGCGCCATCAACAAGCGAGGTAGCCGTAGTGATATCTGGCCAACAATTTCATAAACGAGATATTGTACTGTGTAACCGAGACGATAATCTTAAAAAAATATCTGAAATTCACAGGTCTTATGACAGCCTGCAATATCCACTAATGTTATGTCGTGGTGAAGATGGATATTCTATCGATATTCATCAAATTGACCCTCATACTGGAGTTCCATTACAAAAAATCGTTTCGTGTATGAATTATTACTGTTATCGCATTATGGAAAGACAAAACAATTGCAATATGTTACTCAGATATGGTATGTTGTTAAACCAATATTTAGTCGATCAATATTCTAAAATAGAATCAGAACGTTTAGCGTACATACGAAACAATCAGACAACATTACGAGCTGAAAATTATATACATTTGCAAGATGCCTTGAACTCAAATGAGCCGAGTATCGAAATTGGACAATTAGTAATTCTACCATCATCATTTACTGGTGGACCACGATATCTTCACGAAAAGACACAAGACGCAATGACCTATGTAAAAAATTATGGCAAACCTGACCTATTTATCACTGTAACATGTAATCCAAACTGGGAAGAGATTAAAACTGATCTTCATCCTAACGCACAGCCGCAAGACAGATATGACATAGTCAATAGGGTGTTTCATTTGAAAATACAAAAACTATTGATTCTCATTAATAAAGCTAATATATTTGGTGAACCACGTTGTTTTATGTATACGGTCGAGTGGCAGAAACGTGGCTTACCACACATTCATCTTCTATTATGGCTTAAAAATAAAATAACACCAGACCAAATTGACAATGTGATTTCAGCAGAGTTGCCAAACAAAGAAGATGATCCATTATTGTTCAACTCTGTAGTCAGACACATGATTCATGGACCATGTGGAGTTTTAAATACAAACTCTCCGTGTATGACGGAGGGAAGGTGCTCAAAAAAATTTCCAAAATTATTTCAGAGTCACACATCAACTGGCGATGATGGTTACCCCAAATATCGGAGACTATCACCTGAAGAAGGCGGACAAATTGCTATAATTCGAAATAATGATATTGATAACAGGTGGGTAGTCCCTTACAACCCACTGTTGCTTAAAATATTTGACGCACACATAAACGTGGAACAGTGTAGCTCTGTAAAATCAATAAAATATATTACCAAATATATAAACAAAGGTAGTGATCAAGATACATTTAGTTTATACTATCGAAATGAAGTGGAACAATTTCAATCTGATCGATACATATGTAGTTCTGAAGCGGTTTGACGTATTTTATCTTTTGATGTACACGAACGAGCGCCTGCTATTATTCACTTGGCAATTCACTTAGAGAATGGACAAAGGGTTTTTTTTACACAACATAATGTCAATGACATTGTGAACAATCCACGTGATACTACATTGACTGCTTTTTTCAAATTATGTGCTACAGACGAATTTGCTAAAACCATAACATATGACAAGGTTCCAAATTATTATACTTGGAACTATCAAAAATTTCCAACGACGAAAATTAGGAACCCCCGTCGAAAATCATCCTGGGGTAAAAAAAACTGATACCCTTGGTAGAGTGTATGTAGTTCATCCGAATAACAGTGAATGTTTTTACTTAAGAATGTTGCTCCACGTGATCAAAGGTCCAATTTCTTTTGCAAGTCTACGAACTGTGCAAGGAGTGACGTATGATACATTTCAAGAAGCATGCAAAGCAATGGGTTTGTTAGAAGATGATTTACAATGGGAAAACACATTATCTGAAGCTACTGTATGTTGTACTTCACCGTCTATAAGAAATTTATTTGCCATTTTGATAGTATTTTGCCAAGTAACTGACCCGATAAGGCTTTGGCAAAATCATCGTGCAAGTATGGCTGAAGACGTATTGTTTCGAAAACAAAAAGAATGTCCATCAGATAATATAAATTACGATGAAAATATTTTTAATGAAGCTTTACTTGAGTTGAATAAAGTGGTGCAATCAGTTTCTGGCAAAAATATCACTGATTTTGGATTAATTCTATCGAACAATATAGATCTGAATACCAATACTGAATACTTGCGAGAGACGTCCTACGATAGTGTCCGTCTATTACAGGTCGTTCAAAATGAGAGACGTTTAAACTCTGATCAGAAAACGGTTTATGACGCAGTAATGACATCTATTTATAATTACGAAGGCAAAACATTTTTCCTTGATGTCCCTGGAGGTACAGGAAAAACATTTTTAATTAACTTATTGCTCGCAAAAATAAAAACAGACAGAAAAATCGCTCTTGCTGTGGCTTCATCTGGAATTGCAGCTACGCTTTTAGAAGGTGGTCGAACTGCGCATAGCACTTTCAAGATCCCGCTAAAAATGTCCTACGATGACACATCAAGTGTCTGTAATATATCCAAACAAAGCAACACTGCTCAATTGATGCGGGATTGTGTATTCATTGTTTGGGACGAAGCATCCATGACCCACAAAAGCTCGGTTGAGGCATTGGATAGAACCTTGCGGGACTTACGTAATAAAAATACATTAATGGGTGGCTGTACAGTCTTATTTTCTGGAGATTTTCGTCAAATCTTGCCAGTTGTAGTAAGAGGAACGAGAGCTGATGAAGTCAATGCATCATTAAAGAGATCTTACATTTGGCCAGACATAACTAAATTGAAACTTAAAACTAATATGAGAATATTATCATCTGACCAAGGAAATAAAACTTTTGCTGATGCTTTACTCCGTGTTGGTAATGGTCAGTCACTGACTAGAAATGGTAAAATTGATCTGTCTGAGATTTGTTTTTTGATGTCTAATTTTATGGACCTAATTGAAAATGTTTACCCAGATTTACCTAATATTTCGACTAAAACGACAAGTTGGTTTCAAGAAAGAGCAATATTGTCACCAACTAACGATCAAGTCAATAAAATAAATGACATGATACTGTTAAAATTCAACGCACCAACAAAAGTTTACTATTCCATTGACACTGTTTTAGATGCAGAGGAGGCGATACCATTATCCAACTGAATTTTTAAATTCTTTATCACTGTTACGTGGTACCCAATAAAAACAGGTACCTATCGTAATGATGTTGTTGGATCAGGGTAAATTGATTCAATAATTAATTTAAACACTTGTAAACACTTTAATAAATACAAATACAGAAACAGACATAGATACAAATATAAATTATAAATTCGTGCACTAACAATATCGAAGACGAAACTCAGAAGGGCTTGGTCTGATAGCTGGACACGTCTGCCGTTGGTGGTGAAACGGAGCCTTTATATACTCTGTTAGATTCTGTTTTAATTGTGTTGTTTTCAACACGTGGCTGTCCTTGGTCTTGATCTTCATATCCAAATGATGTTTCATCACGTGGTTGCCCTTGGCCTTGATTGTCTTATTCGAATGATGATGTTGTTTGTGGTTGTTTGTAATTCGCGCGTGGCGCCCATTAAAGTTTATGTGTGCAATAGTTATTCTTGGTACGTTTTTCCTTATACGACTCAGGAATATGCGTATTATTATTTCTTAATAATATATGCATATTACATCACCTTCAGGGACCCCACCACACAAATTAATTCTAAAAATAGGGTCTCCTATAATTTTACTTCGAAACTTAAGTCCACCTAAATTATGCAACGGTACAAGATTACAAATAAAGTCTTTAAAAAACTGTCTGCTTGAGTGTATAATCCTTACTGGCTGCGGAGCTGGGGAAATGGTCTTGGTTCCTAGAATACCAATGATACCAACCAATTTGCCATTTCAGTTCAAACAGCACCAATTTCCCGTGAAATTAAGCTTTGCAATGACTATTAATAAGGCACAAGGTCAAACATTAAACGTTGCAGGTTTAGACTTAACCGTCCAGTGTTTTTCCCATGGTCAATTGTACGTAGCTCTGTCACGTGTCACATGCAAACAAATTCTATTTGTGATGGCCCCAGAAGGTGAGACACTTAACGTGGTGTATCCAGAAATATTTAATACTTAAGACAAATTGATATAATTAACAAAAAAAATAAAAATCATACATCATACATCATAACGAAACAAATATATTCCACACGTATATAAAACAAATTAATCAAATTAAATATCTGATATAATTCATTTCAAACTTTTCACATATTCCTAAACATATATAAATGTACTGAAATCTAGCAATAGCAAAGCATTGCCGGGTCAGCTAGTATAGCTATAATTTTTGAATTACTCTACCACAAAACAACAACAATTTCTCAGAACGTTTATAAATAAAATTATATTATATTTATATTTCAATGCAACATTTCGAAAGATTATTTCGAGACATCTCATTATTATAAAGATGTCTCGATTACTAATATTTCGATTATTGAAATCATTCGATTATTCTCATCACTAATCACGTATCTTGATTAATATTTCGATTTATATTTCGAGACATTTCTCGATTATAAAAATGTCTCGAATACTATAATATTTCGATTATTGAAATCATTCGATTATGCCCATCACTAAACTGAATCATATTTTCCATCTAGACTATTGCACGGAATTAATAATCTGCATATGAATCTATATTTAGAATGTATCTATAGCCATGATAATATTTTTTTGTGATAATATTAAACAAAGTTATCTTAGCCCACCGTTAGATAGCGTTACAATAATAGTTCCGAATGCTGTTTTATTGAAACCCCACTTGGCAGTGCGTCAGTCATGTTATCGCTGCTCGTGATAATGGACCTCGTGCCTCGTGGTTTTGTTTACCATTATCATCGTTTCAAATGGTTTTCGAATTTCGGTTTTTAAATAAATAATTTAATTAAATTGAATACTTATCGGCAAGATGAAAAACAAACCGCACCGGCATAAGGAGTACAACACGTTCAGGGTTTGTATAGTTTTATTTTTTATATTTAAATTAAAATATTTTTTAAATATTTGGGCCTCATTGAGATGATCTCATGCTGAGGCCTATTAAGTTATTTGCTGAAAACAATTTTGGAAGCAAACAGCAATTTATGTATTCTCGATTATATTTAGGTTCTTTATATCACTTTTAGTAATTTTATTTCAACTTTTTAGTTTCAACCATTCAGTGAAAGGATATCAGAAATTGATGTCGATGTGTTCCATCGTGTGGGGCACAGCAATGAAGAAATTGATGACACTCCAAAAACTCGATTTGCTCTAGCCATTGAACGATGGAACGACTTAAATAGGTCTGAGAGTTATGATCAATTATGCTATAATTTAAAACCACTGCAGTTGGAAAGCTTACCTCAGCTATTAGCAAGAAAAGAAGAAATATCTCAAGTTTTGTTTAAGTATTTGGATGATTCAGATCCACTTTCAGTTCAAGCTGCATTAGAGTGAGTTATACAATAATATGGTCCTTTTTTTAATGTTTTCAGTTCATCAAATTGTCTTAACGTTATGTAAACTATTTATTTTCCTTTGTAGGTTTGTTATAGCATTTGCTCAAGACTTACAACAAGAATTTTATGAATATTTTCCTGAATTTTTAAGATTATGTATTAAACTTTTACGGACAAAAGATGCCGAACAAATAGAATGGTCATTTACTTGTCTGGCCTATTTATTCAAATACTTATGGCGTCTAATAGTCCGTGATATCAAACCAGTGTTTGAGTGTATTGTTCTTTTACTTGGAGATGATCAGCCACCATATGTAAATGATTTCGCTGCTGAAAGTTTTTCTTTTGTAGCCAAGAAAGTCAAAGATAAGAAGAACTTTTTAAAAATGGTTCTTAAAAATTTTAAATACAAAAAAGAAGTAAAAACCAAATATTTTATTTAATATAAATATTATAATACAATTAGAATATATCTTAATAATTTATTAATAAATTTCAGAGTATTTATGGTTGTTCTAAACTTCTTTTTGAAGTTATTAAAGGCGTTTCTGGAGGTTTACATTCTTGTGCTGATAACTTTTTACCAATTTACATAAATTCACTAGCTAATACTGATATTTCACATAATTTACTCTATGATGTATTGGATATGTTTTTTGATCATTTACTTAACCACGTAGAACCAAAAAAGAGTATACTTATATGGACAACTCTCAAGGTAAGAAATATAAATTAAATCAATTATAATTTTCTTTTTTTTACTTTAATATAAAAAGTTATTGTTTTAGAAATCTACATCAGAATTTTTGATTAATTATACCAATAATCCAAATGAAAGGACTGCTGAAAATGTAAATCAAGTCTTAATTCTTTGCCATCGTTTAGTATCTCACAAAAATGGTTCATGTATTCACAATTTGACTGAGATATTTGAATGGGTTATTGAATATTTGGATCATAAACCTCAATTGACTCAAGTTCATTTACATACTTTGAGTTCTATTGTAAGCACACTTTGCTTATCAAATATAGGTTTACCGTCATATCAAGCCAATACTTTAATTGACAAAGTTAGTAAAAAACACTTGAGTACTCTATATGTATATATCTGTAATTTATAATTTAATTAATTGTTTTTAAAACTGTTTTACAGGTCATGTCTCTAAAAAATTTAGATATTTTAGTATCTTTTACTGAGCAAATGTATACTTATATCAATTTTGAGCTTTCAGTTATGCCACAATTTTTAAATTTTGTTGCTGAACATATAAAATCAAAACAAGAATTACCTAAGTCTATTATAACATGCTTATCTAGATATTTTAGTGATAATTCACCCTTGAGATCTTATGGATATGACAAATGGAGGGTTAATTACAAAAATACCCTTTATGGAAGGTATAATATATTTATTGTTAATTTAAAATTTCACAATTAAGTACTCTTTAGTCTTAGTCGCTTCTGTTGTTAATTTAATAAGCTTGCAATACACAATGTTTATTTTTTCAACTCTGTTTTATTAATTTAATTTAATTATGAATTTTTAGACATTATGACAGTGAAATAATCGGGAACTACATTTTAAAATGTTTAGGAAACATTCAAAATGATAATTGTGAAGCTGATGATATACCATGTTATTTAATTTTACTTCAACATTTTTGTCACAATGAAACAGATGCTACAAATATTTTAAAAAACCTGTTTGAATTAACTACTAAAAAATTAGAAAATGGTGATGTAGTAAATCTATTATCTTTCCTCAACATAATTGAAACCATAATGAGACTGAAAGATGATTTTAATAATTGGTTTCTTCTTGTTAATCTAATAACTCAGTTGAAACCACTTTTAGATAATAAATTTAAATGTTGCGCTTTGGTATTAGAAATAATTCATATTTTAATTTCAAGTTGTCAAATTCCTATAAATGATAAATGTATCAAAGATTTAGAAAAGAAACTTATTGATTTATTATCTTTACCGTATCATCAAGTACGCCTAATAAGTTGTAAAATATTAGTTTTAATTAATTCACCAACAGACACACACCTAGTAGAACGAAATAGTCTGTTTAGATTATTAGAAACTGTGGAAAATGTACCAGCTACATTGAATGAGTATCGTGCACGTCTTTTACATATACAACATTTAGACTGTAATGATACGTTTAAAAACTCATACAGAACTGTAGAAGATGCATCAGAAATTGCTGTGAAATATCTTTTAGGAAATTTACATATCAATTTTAGACCAATGTGGGATCCAGTTGTTAAACTTATTGTGTCGCATTCTAAGTCATCAAAAACATTTTGGCCTGTGTATGTAAAACATTTAGAACTAAGTATTAAACATGATAATTATGTTATTAAACCTGCAGAACCAAAAGAAGAATTTAAAAGTAAGTTTATAATTTATAAATATTTATTTTTCTTTCTTTTATGTCACATGCTTAATGATTTTCAGGTGATTTTATTTCTGAACGATATAAAAAACTAAACAATACTGTAGAGCGAGTAGATATGAATAACTATAGGATCTTATTATGGAATACTATGTCAGACTTTGGGGATTTGATAGACCAGAAAAATAAAGATATTGTAACACTATTTTTACAGTTCATAAGGTAAAGTATTGCATTATACTTAATAACATTAAATTACTCAATATTTGACTTAAATATAGGTGTGAATATATGCAAAGCAATTCCGAATTAGCAAACAGTTGGAATATTAAACAGAATTCTGAAGAAGAGGAACCTGATACTGATAATGAAGATAATATTAATGAAAGTAGCTCAGAAGAAACTTATAATTCAAACAAATCTCTTACCAAGTATGAATTTTTACAAACCAAATTTTCTGATTGTTACAGTATATTTGGTTCTAAATAATTTGTTATAAATAAAATTATTTTTTTAGATTATTATTGGCTCATTTAAAATTGATGTCAACTCTTCGTAATCCTAAAGGAATATACAAAGAGTCTGAAGTTTTTGATGTTTATTTAATTCTTCTATCAAATAAAAATGCAGAAATACAAAAAGCAGCATTTGATTGCTTGTTAACTTATAAACAAAAACATGTTACTCCCTACAAGTAAGGCAATGCACATTTTGAATGATTATACTATTATACTAATAATGATTGTACTATAATTATATAACACATTATATGTTATGTATATATTTAAAATTTTTGTTTTTTAGGGAAAACCTTTACAGTCTAATCAATGAAAAATCATTTAAAGCCGAGTTAGTTATGTTTAGAGTTGACTCTGAAAGTGAAGCAATATTATCAGAACACCGTCCACTTTTAATGCCCCTTATAATGAGGTAGATAAAAAAAAATATCAAATAAATATCAAAATAACATAAATATAAACATTAAATCAAGTGTATTAAACGAAGCAATATTTTTAAATTGTAATTTTATTTAATCTTATTATTAACTAATATTTTTACTAACTATGATTTACATTTTAGAATTGTTTATGGTAAACTATTGAGCGGTGGTGGCCCTAAATCAGGCAGTAAATGTTCAGGACAAAATCGGCGAACTGCTATAATGCGTTTTCTTGTTGGATGTGAAGAATCTGAACTCATTGTTTTCATGCAAATGGTATTTAGAGTTCTCAATTCCCAAGTTCAATGTATGGCATACACTAGTCTTATCTTATACATTTTCAATTTGCTATTTGAATGAAATATATTTTCTTTTAGTTTCTGATTGTCCACTAAAAATGACTCGACATATAGTGAACACTATTGATTTGGGTCATGTTCTACCACCTAGACGTTTGCTTTCATCAGTCAACATGTGTGCTGTTATTTTAAAACAATGTGGTGCTTTATCAGGCACAAACGGTCTTTACTATATGCTAAGAGTATTGTTATGTGTTGGAGCCAACGTAAAGGCTATGTTAATGCACCGTTCAACTATACATGCTGGTTATTTCAACACAATTTCTAAAGTTAGAATCACCACAATCGAAACTTTGACCACATTCTTTCAACATTTTGAAAATTTTTCATGGGATAAAAGTTTTTTGGATTCTGTATTTGAAGTATTTATTGAACCATCACTGAGTAAAATACCAACAGAGTGCTTACAACATCCTACACCATTAATGAAGTTATTGGTAGTTTGGAGTCAAATACCAAGGTAAATAGTAGATGTGACAAGCGTATTTTATAATTTTTTCAACAACCAATATAATATTTAGGTCCATAATAATTATTAATATTACTTTGATGACTTGTTTTTAGATATTATTGTTTATTGGGGTATCCTGTGAATAATCTAACAGCAATAGAAGTATTAATAGATTTATTAACATCCGAAAAAACTCATGGTGGGGTAAAAAAAATTGTTCTTGAAATTATTGATCGATTATTAACATTTGATGGAACTTATAATGATGCTATGGATGTTGATGTACCAGCTTTAGATATACCTCTTCCTTCATTACCATCTGAATATGAAGGTAATGCAATGCTGATTAAATAGGATATTCTACACCATTTAATCGATATACTAATTTTCACTGATTTGTTACAGATGTTTTAAATGTTGGTTCGCGTTTATTATTCCCTTACCTTCCAACTATTCTTACGTATCTTTATAATGAATTGTCAAAAAAACGAGGTGTTGGTCTTGCATCAATTGAGATGTCCATATTGACTAAAGCTTCTGAACTTGTGCGAGATGAACAGTCAAGTTCAAATTTGTTGTCTTTATTGTTCCCAGTTTTGTTAAAAAAAGCCACCAGTGATGATATGGCAATCGCCCCATTATTTTCCACTGTTAATTGTTTGGTGTCAAATGTAGATGATGTAGGTACATTACCTCGACAGTTAGCCACTCTTTTTGGAAGTGTTGTGGGTCAACATAGCAGAAACATGCTACTCGAGTTCACTAAAATCATTGCTAAAAAAAGTCCGTAAGTAATTTAAATGTTATAAGAATACTAAAATAAAGTTTTTTGAGCCAATTATATTGAATAACTTCAATTATACTTACATTAAATAACATTATATTATTTAGGAAAAGTAATATCCATTGTGATATACTATACGAATTGAATGCTTGGGACAAGAGGCATTTGGATCAACCAGATTTTGATTGTAGAATGAATGCTTTAAAAAAAATTAAAACTTTGTTGGATAATAATGATGTATCTGTTGAATTTGGCGCATTTGTGATTTATAATTGTTTTTATATTTTTAATAATGTGAGTAATTTTGCAATAACTAATTAATTTTGTACCTAATATTATCAATTGTTTAGGTAAATGACATTGGGCTCAGGGATACAGCGAGCACTTGTTTAAAAAGTATTAGTTGTTATCTTTGCTTGAAACATGCAAAACAATCTCCTGAACGAACATTTATACTGGATTCTGTTCTGTTGCCATCTATACGTAATGGCATTCAAGGACTTAAAGAAGTAGTCCAATATGAATCAATTTCACTTTTAGGACATTTGGTTTGTTTTGTAGCTTATGTATATTATAATATATCAGATAATCTTGTAAAAGTGTTTCGTATAATAATTATTTGCTTTATTAGGCAAGAAAATGTGCTCATGTCCATTTTGTATTTAATGATTTACAACCTTTATCTAATGAAACAGATCTTGAAGGCGATTTCTTTGAAAATATTCAACATTTACAAACTTATCGCAAAGTTAAGGCTCTACATAGGTACGTCAAATTTATATTTTATTACTATTCTTATATATATTTTTTATTAGTGCTTAGAGAGGTTTTTTTTATTTTTGAATATTATTAATTAACTGTATTATTCAGGTTTTCTGAAATCATGAAAAAAAGTTACCATTGTCCAAGACCCAACACAATTATGCATTTTATTTTGCCATTAGCTAATCAATTTTTATGCTCTACAAAGTATAATGCTAAAAACAGTTTAGTTGATGCTGCTATCGATGTAAGTTTAATTTTTTATCTACCTTTTTTTTTAACTATTCTTATGTTGCTTAAAACTGAAAATAATAATTGTATTATTATTAAAGGCTGTTACAACAATGAGTCGCATACTCCCATGGCAGCAGTATGAAACCTTACTTAAATTGTACTTAAATAAAATGCGTCAATCAATCGATTTCCAAAAACAAACAGTGCGTATTGTATCTGGTATATTGGACTCATTTCATTTCGATTTATCACGAGCTACTGAAAGAGAAACTCAAGTTATTCAAGAATCAATTCATTTAAAAAAGATTAAAGATATTTCACAGAAGGTGACACAAGTAAATATAATTGAAAAGGTTATGCAAGATGATGAGGATGAAACTCAGATGGAAGTAGATGATGATGATAATGAAGATGGTGATGATGAAAATGAAAACACTGAGATCAAAGAGTTAATAGTAGAAAAAGTTCATGTTTTGTGTCCCTCGAGTGCAATAAAAATTACAAAAGTTATATCCATAGGTTTATTGCCTCAGTTGAATAAAAATCTAGCTCAGTACTCAGAATCTGATCGTAGTCATAAGATGAATAAAAAACAAGCAGAATATGATAAAGAAGAAATGGAAATGTTAAAAATTCCAGTTGCACTTGCCGTTGTGAAACTCCTGAAAAAGTTACCAGCCAATATGCTTGAAGAAAATTTGCAAGGTGTCTTTATGAAACTGTGTACATTTTTAAAATCTCGTCTAGAGAGCGTGCGACGCGTGACCCGTGAAACATTACAAAATATAATGGTAACACTTGGTACCAGCTATATGAGCATGCTTTTGAATGAAATGACTGCACTCTTAACACAAGGTTTCCAAGTCCATGTTCTCATTTATACAATCCATGCAATTTTAGTTTCCTTACGAGAACTTTTTGAAAAAGGTCATATGGATGGTTGTCTACCTTATATTTTAGAAGTGAGTTGTTCACTACACATAATATTTAGTGAAACTATTAAAAATGCAAAATTCATTTTCATTTTATGGTAATTCTTAAACTTTATAAGGCATTTTAATGTTTAACCTTCAAATTACAGGTGGTCAAAGTAGATTTATTTGGTGCAAGTTCTGATGAAAAAGAAGTTACAAAAATAGCTGGAAAAACTATTGAAGCACGAGGAAATAAGAGTTATAATACTCTACACATTGCAGCAGAATTTGTTACTGAAAAAAGTTTACTCAATTTAATCATACCCTTTAAAGATGTATGTATTAATCTTGTATAGTATTATGTGATTATTGTTTGTTTTTAATTTTGTTTTCTCGTCAATTGAAATAGATATTGTACTCAACATTATCATTCAAAAGTATTAGAAAGTGCAATGAAAGCTTACGGCACATTGTCACTGGTTTGGTTGATAATAAATTTGTTAAAACTGAATCTTTGTTGGAGTTTGCTCATGGTACAGTATCTCAAAGTATCCCTGTCCTAAATGCAGAATCCAAACAACAAGTAAAAAAAAAGGAAGAAATCAAAAAACCTGATTCATATATAATTCCTCAAGGTATTGATACATTTAATAATATTGCAAAACATACATAACAATTTTCCTCTAATTTCAGAACCGAAACGTATTTCTACCTTATTTGATCAAACTGTTTGTGCCCGTACGAATGCTCATGAACTCGTACAATTTGGTCTGAGCTTATTACAATTCATGTTGAAACGTGAAATGCTTAAAAGTGCAGCGTTTTCACCTTTTGTCGATCCATTTGTTTCACTTGTAATTGACTCAATGAAATCTCAACACGTTAAGGTATTATGCAAACATTATTCAAATGAAATGTTGGTCTAATAATTTATTTGTAATTTAGCTTATTACACTGGCTCTTCAATGCATGAACTGGCTCTTAAAACGAGATTTGCCATCTGTGAAAGGAAATATAAAAACCATTTCTAGAAGTATTTTTGAAATTATTCATAAATATGCAACAGGTCAGAACTGCACTGGAGACAATGCTGAACTCGTTATGTCTTCGTTTAAGGTTAATATATTTTTGTTTTTATTTATTGTGTGTTTGTGTTGTCATCAAATTATATCATGTTGCATTTTGCAGACACTGTCAACGTATATTCGAGAAGTAAAATATAACAGGCTTGATAATGATCAATTACGTGAGGCGGTTTTGTACGCTGAACAAGAACTATCGAGTGTTGAAAATGGTGGCAGTACCATAACTACAACTTTTACACTTATCAAAGCATTACTTAGTCGACAGCACAATTGCCCTGAGTTTAAGGAGCTAATGAATCATGTTGCAAAGGCTTGTATTACTTGTGAACGCGATGCTGTTCGCACCCAAGCACGTCAAACATTCTACCAATACTTGATGGACTATCCCCTAGGAAAGGCTTTAAACGGACACATCCAGTTCTTCTTGACACAGTTAGAGTATGAAGTACAAAGCGGACGTGAATCGGCCTTAGAAATGATAACTCTGTTGATAAAAACCTTACCTCCCGTTAGTAAAATACATTTCATGTTCAATAATCAAAAAGTTTAAAATAGTATTGTAACTAGCATGTTTTTAACCGTTCTAGGAAGTATTAAGGAATCATAGTTCAGCTATATTTATATCACTTAGTGCTCAAATGGTCAATGACTCTGTAGCATCTTGTCGTAAAAGTGCAGCAGAAGCTATTAAAATAATGTTGGGCAGATTGACCAAGAACATTATTTCTACACTTTATGATATTACTCTGACTTGGTTACAAGGAACAAAAGTAATGAGGAAAAAAAAAGCCAAATATTATCAAAATAAATAATTTTTTTTTTTTCTTCTAGATAATTCATAGGCAGTTGGGTGCTCTACTAATCAGTTTATTCGTTACTGTTGAAGGTGAAGATTTTAATAGCAGGTTAAAAACAACTCTTCCAATTCTATCCAAATACCTCAGACGTACAGCAGTTCCAGATGGACCTGGACGTTTTGTTCGAATTCTTAAGCCCATTGAAAGCGACCAGAATTTAGATCATTTTTTGTTTCAATGTCTTCAAACGTGTGTAAATATCGTCAGCACTTGTCCTAATGTTTTTACTAAACCATCTTTGAATGAACATATCATGCATATTGCAAGTCAGTGAATATTTATTTATATTAAATGTTTAATAATTGTAAATTTTAATTGTGTTATAATTATTTTAGTGTCTTGTCAAGAGTTATTAAGAGACGATCATGAATGGGTGAGACTTGGGGCTCTTCAGTTTTTAAAAAAATATTTATCATCAGTAGATGTTAAAGTTATTGCAATGTTAGCTTCCAAAAAAGATGATAAAGAAGAAAAACGATATTTGTATTCTAATGCTAGACAGAGTGTAAAGATGTTATGTTTAGATCTCGTTGATCAAATTATTCCTGGTCATGAAATATTAGAAGAAATACTTAAAGATGTATGTATTTTTTGTATTGAAAAATGTTAAAATGTTGCTTCAATGAATATTTCATGATTTAAAATTGTAATTTAACATTTGTTTGATTTTTAGACTATGGAAAACCTATTGTTATTATCAGAAATTCTGAAATTAGTTCAGTCTAAAAAAGTGAAAAATGATAAAAATGAACTTTCTTTAGGATGGCTATTGAAAAGTTTAAATAAACTTGTATTTATAGAAGTATCAAAATATCCTCAACAATTCACTGTGGTAATTATTTTAATTATTTATCTTATATAATTTTTTTTATTTTTTAATAAAATTATATTTTATTATTTTTATGTTAAAGAATTATTTATTGTTAAATGTTAATTTCAAAGAGAAGATTCAATAATATAATTGTTATTATAGTTTACACCATATATATATTAATTTTAATAATTCTATTCAATCTATGTATGTTATTTTTTTTTTTTTTTAGAGAAAATCTGTATTCACATTTTATGGTGCATTGGCTTCTCGTTTATTACGTTCAAAGTTGATTTCAGTTATAAAAATAGTTTTAAAACCATTAATTCGTGAACTTTCAACAACTGATGATGCTAGCATAGATATAAGACGAGTAGCCAAATCGGCATCAAACATAATAAAGAAGAAATGTGGACCAGAAATCTTTAATGAAAATTGTTCTCTTATTCAACGGAATCTAAATGCTAGGAGAGCACTTAGAAAAAAGGCTGCTTTATTACAAGTGAGTTTAAATAAATTACATATTTTACTTATAAAAATTAGTTTTTATTCAGTGTTTACTTAGTATAATTTTAATATTGCACCAGTAAAGGTCAATATTGATCTGGAATCAACCTAAAATATGAAAAAAATTATAAATTAACTATTATAAAAGTAATTCACAATTTACTTTATTTTTCAGGTCGTAACCGACCCAGAACTAGCAGCAAAGAGGAAAATAACTAAACAAGCAAAAAAGAAAGGTACAAAAAAGAGAAGAATGGAGAAAATCAAGCAAAAAGATATCAAAACTAGGATTAAAAAAGATTTAGATTTGGAAGAGTATTATTAATATTGATTTGACTGTTATGAAAAAATAAATTGAACCAATTGAATTTTAAAAACATTTTTTTTACTATTGTTTTCGATGTAGTACCATAGAACATAGTTATAAAATATAATGAAAATATAATTAAGTCTCATGGGGCAGTACATTATTTTATTGTTGTGCAAATCTACTTCTTGACATCTTGGAGTGATAAATGTTATGAATTTCCTCAACAATTCTTTGTAAATCTTGTAGGTTTGTTTTCCATATTCATTGTAAAAAGAGAAAATTCGGTCGGAAACATGGAGCAACCTGTTTCTTTGGCATCAACAAACGTGTGCACAACGCGTTAAACGTTATGGAATCAATGAAAAGGTAAATAAAAATAAAAAAAAGACTTCTATTAGGTAAATGGAATTAATTTCGTATGGTTTCAAACCAAAAATTTAAAAACAAACTTCAAGATCGGATGATCACTACGATTGCGTTCGTGGTAGTTAATTCAGAAAGAGTAAAATCGAATCGTAACAACTGTTGGAATACGCGGAATCCAATATTTGATCATAACATATTCGTCTGCGTACACAATTTTGGAATGCGATGTTGAAATTAAGTAACTGTAACGTGTCGGCGTCGGGTTTTTTTTACGGCGCCAAACTCAAAGAGCATTTTACGCACGAGTCAAAAGTTTATAAAAATTAATGAGCTGCGACTTATTTTTTCCAACGCACAACAATGCAGGAAAAAAATATAAAAAAAAATAATAATATTAAAACAACCCATGCATAATACGTGCGTTCGCCGCGGATAAGGTTCTTTAGTTGAGACGGATCTGTACCTATTTATGTTGGCTGAAAAGAAAAGTTTGTAATCCTCGGGTTATTTTTTTTTTATTTTTCTTTCCTTTTTCTAATAGCCGTCATATTTTTTATTAATTTCGACAATTCGTTACAATTGTCCGCCAAAGCCCGCGAACATTTATTTAACGTAAACTTTCCGGAGGAAGAAGAAAATAGAAAAATGCTGGTTGTATGCAAATTTTTTTAGGGGGAAAAAAAAAAGGAAAAGAAATGATCGTCAATACTCGACGTGATGATTTGTTACCGTTACCACGCCGGTAGGCATTTCTTAGAAGATACCGGCACATGATTGTATACACAGCATACTCGTACATACATAATAGGTAACATGCGAGAATAAACCGATGAGGGATATTACTCGTATTATATTTTTGTGTATATATTACGAGCAAAGTTGAAAGTCGGTCATTGTGCACAATGACCAGGCACTGTGCACAATACTCGGTTTTCAAGGGAAAAGTTGGAATAAATTAACGTTGCCCGGGCATTGTATACAGTGCCCAATTAGATTTGGGCACAGTAGATTAAATATTGAATATTATATTAACTTATTATTACTTATTACGTATTACTTTTAATAATATATCACAGGGATGGGCAACTCGAAGTTACTTGAGGGCCAATTTTTAGAAAATTTAAATCTAGCGGGCCAGAGCATAAAAAAAAAAGAAAAAAAAAGGTTATTCAAAATAAGAATTTTAATTAGCATTTATATATGTGGAAATAATAAATTCAACACACACGATAGCAGAATCCGAATTGTACGAAGAAATTGATACAGTTAAATAGTTTGGTAACAGCTATGGTTGAAAACCATACTTATACATTCATATGACATTTAGACATTTAACGATGTCAATACTAGATAACAATTATTATATTGATAAGTTAGAGCATAGACGATAAACTTTAAAATTGTATGATGTAATTTTAAAATATATTACAAGCCAGATAAAAAAGGCTCACGGGCCGAATGCGGCCCGTGAGCCGCCAGTTGCCTACCCCTGATATATCATATTAATTTTATACTACTACTCGATTTTATTCACTGGCGGAGTTAACATGTATTCAATTTTACTTGATTTTTTTAGTGGCGGAGCTTACAGTAAAAAAAGGTACTTGTGGCCAGGGGCGGATCCAAAGTCGGGGAACTGTGGGTCAAGCCATTTCAAGAGGCCATTTATTAGAGATGAAATTGAATTAGAAATGAATACCTTGTAAAAAAAAAAAAAAAACACAATACGCTCATAAAAGTGTATAAGTATATTTATATTACATTTTAGAATTAGTGATACCACCGATAATGACTTATTTACGATTAATAAATATAATCTTATTTTATTAGCACTACAAACGTACGGAATAAAATATGATTTACTTCACTTTTTACTAAAACAATATAATTTAAAATATAAATTATGAATTGAAAAGTTTTAAATTTTGAATAAACAAGGCATTCATTTTTCTAATAACTCCGATGGGCCAACTGTCCAAGAGTTCAAATCAAGGTCTAAAAAGAGAAAACAATTTCCAAGAGGCCAATTTTGTCAAGAAATATTAACTGTGGGTCAGCTGACACCCTGAACCCCCCCCCCTAGATCCGCCACTACTTGTGGCGGAGTTTACATCCGACCATTCCATATAATTAACGATCGTAAAACAAAAATTAAATTCTGAGATTCTATTTTATAAATATTCGTCACTTGACAATTTGAGATAAGACATTAGTATGTGTATTAATAGATTGAAAACTAGGAATTCCAAATACGGATATCGAACGCACATTTGATAAACACAACTACAAAAAGAGGGCCAAAAAATGTTGGCCCCCGTATAGAAATATGTCTGGTTATGTGCCTGTACTTCCATGAACCACAGATATATGTATTTCATTAAGAAGTTGAAACAATTGTTCGTTGTAAACATAATACTTAATTAAATTACCTTCGGATATTGGAACTACTAACTTTTCAATCCCTGATATATTTATAACATCGTATTTTTTAATTAATTTGTAATCATCTACAGTCTTTTTTGTTATTTTAGTTTTCATATTATTCATTTTTAAAATTAATTCATCGTATTTTACTTTATTTAAAAATACAGCATTCGCATTTTTGTTTAATAGTAAATTGTTAAACTTCTCATTAAACTTTTTTTCCATTTTATGTTAGAAAATAGTACACAAATACTAAAGGCTGATTTACACGTTACCAGTCGGTGTACCAGTCAAAGTCGCCAATAATTGAATGCCAGTGACTGGCAACGTCTACACATAATCCAAACATAATCTGCCAGCAATTGGAGAAAGCCAGTGGGCACTGGCGTGCCAGCAGATGGCATTGCCAGCAAAACAAATATTTTTGTTTTACTGGCGCGAAAGCTTCCCCCCTCCACTACATCGCCACAACGAAAGCAGTTAACTGGCATCGTGTAAACAACAATAGTCACGTGCCGATTACTGGATTATAACAGTGATATAATATTTTATTTATCAATGATAATAGTACATCGTACATGTGCGTAAAACTACTGAAACTGAGAAAAGTGAACTTCATAACAATATTAAAATATTATTAGACAATGTTTATAATTTATACAAGACGTGATAACGTGTACACTACAACTTGGTACTCGAATTGATAAAACACTACAACCACTGGTTAGCACCTAACTAGTAACCAGTGGCGTATTTATGGGGGGAGTCTGGGTTTCCTCCTCCCCAAAAAAAATATTTGAAAACGTCAAAAAAAATATATATATAAAAAAAAAATATTAATATCGCTAATAATTATATTGCAATCGGATAATAATAATACAAATCGACCACACGGCACTCACACACACACATGGTACATAAATAATCTGATGTGGGGAAATTATCGGTCGATAAGAATATTAATATCTTAGTCCGTGACCAGGGGTGGATAGGCCCATAGGGAAAAAAGGATTTTCCCTGTGGGCCTTCGCCCTATATATACCATTAATTTTTTCATGGAAATTTATTATTTTTTTTTTTTTTATAGTTAAATTATTTAAATTAAATTAGGATGAAAAAAATCTAATACATTTTTTATAAGCAAATTTTTTTTTCATTTTAGTGGCCCCATTAAAATATTTCCCTGTAACAAAAAAAAAACCACCTATCCACCTCTGTCCGTGACTGTCACGTCTTGTCTGTTGCCAGTATACACTATGCATCTATGTGCAACATAAAGTAATATAAAATACGATTAATACGATCATACGTTTAATTTAGTTCAATTTCATTAATTTATTTTCATTCAATTGTTGAGTTGATATTAAAAGAGTACTTTAAAGGAGCCAGTAAAAAAAAAAAAAAATTAAAAACATTGGATTCTTATTTTAAATCAATTGAAGTCAATAGTTTGATTTCAATAAGTTAATAAAAAACCTAACAATAAGTTGATAAAGAACATTTTATACTAATTTATAAAATTATTTTACTATTAGGTATGACAACTCCCTCCCAAAAAATAAGTTTCTAAATACGCCACTGTTAATAGCTGCCAGTACTAACGTCGTGTAAACGATGGGCGCCAGTCACCTGCCAATTCCAGTTGCCGCATGTCAGTGACCTTCGAGCTAGCATGCCAGTAGCCATGTCAGCAACTAGTAACGTGTAAATCAGCCTTTAAAAACATTGACCAAAAGAAAAAATAACACTACATGCAACTGCACTACACTACAATGACCGACTACGCGACATCGCCGTCCTGAAAATAATCATTAGAAAATATTGAATAAGAATAATTCTTTAAATTATTTAACGATTCGATTATGAAATATTATCTACAATACTGTGAGATCATCGTTAGATTACGGTTCGGTTCGTATTATCGCAGCTGTCGCGTTATCGCGTTCGAATAAAATAAAATATAATAAAATATCTAACTATAGTTTTGTAGTGATATTATTACGTATAAATGCAATTTAATATAAAAGTGTGCAGCACAATATATTTTAATTCACTATGCCCACTTGAATCTGGGCAGGGTACACTTTGCCCGGACAATCTAGTACAATGCTCGGTCAATGTATGACAAATTTGAGTGTTAAAATGATCATTCTTACATTGGCTAAAATGTTCGGGTATTGTATAACAATGCCCGGATTTCCTACTTTGCCCGTAACATATACAGTGTGTAAACGGTAACTGAGAATACTCAATATCTTTACGTGGAAACTTGCAATTTA